ATGCTAAGCAAGCATTCTACTACCAAGTCCCAATATTAGTCCCTAATATGTTTTATTTAATATTTCCCATCATTAAATCCTTAAAAAAAGATTTTTAAAAAAAATATGTGAATGCAACTCTGTTTATGGAGGAGTACATGTACATGAACACCAGTACTTGTGGAAGCTAGATGATGAAGTTGGATTCCCTAGAACTGAGTTAAAGGGCTTGTGAATTGCCCTACACTGATGCTGGGAAATGAACTCGGGCCCTCTGCAAGAGTAGCACAAACTCTTAATGGTGAGCCATCTCCCTAGTTCCCTTAATATGGTTTAATTAAATAATTGTATGTAGGATAACATGTATTTAAAATATTTATATCAATAAACATAAAGTACAACTGATTTTGAGTTAGTAAGATAGCAGATGATTATGATTTAGATCATATTAAAAGGAGAGAGAGAAAGAGAGGGGAGAGGGAGGGAGGGAGGAGGGAGGAAGGGGAAAGGAGAGGAGGAGGGAGAGAGGGGTGAAGGATGCAGCTCAGATGGCACAGTGCTTAGCAAGCACAAGCCCCTGCTTTAACTCCCTGCTTTAACTCCCATGAACAGGGCATGATGGTGCATGGCTGTACTCCAGGCCCTTAGAAGGTGGAAGCAGGTAGATTAGGAAGTTCAGAAGATAAGAAGATCAAGTTGCTGGGCGGTGGTGGCACACGCCTTTAATCCCAGCACTCGGGAGGCAGAGGCAGGCAGATCTCTGTGAGTTGGAGGCCAGCCTGGTCTACAAAGCGAGATCCAGGAAAGGCTCCAAAGCTACAGAGAAACCCTGTCTCGAAAAACCAAAAACAAACAAACAAAAAAAGATCAAGTCATCCTCAGATACATAGAAAGTTTGATGCTAGCCTGGGATACATGAGACCCTGTCTTGAGGAGGAGGGTTACCCTAAATTATTAATATTTGATTTTGAAGCATTTATGTTTTGTGCATCTGTATGAGTATGGATGTATGTGTAATGTAGAAGACTTTACAAACCATCAACTCAAACAAAACAATCACAAAGCAAAGCTTCAGATCAAACAAATGGCAATTATTCTTGGGTTCTTTAACCTTTCCCACTGCAAATCCAGGGAAGAGATACTACATCTTCTCATATGCATAAATAGCCAAGTAGTTTTCAAGAACAGACACAACATTGTCACAGGATTAATTTTGAATCACATCATATTTGATAAATGTTAAGAATGAAGTGGCATTAGAAATACCATGCAATACTAAGAGATTTAAAAATGTAAAAATCAAAATTCAGAGGTAGCATAATGCTAAGCTCCTGGACAGAGCAACACACTAATGCTCATTTGTGTTGCTACTCCATGGGCATGTCAAAGTGGGTCATTCTGTGTTTGGGATTTGTGATTTATTTAACAACCTATGGTGCTGGGGATGGAGCCCAGGGTCTCCATTGTTCATAGTCAGCCCCAGACCACTGAGACTGTTCTCTAACCTGCAGGACGAAGCATGTTTCTATCTCATGGTGTTGCTTTAGCACCAAATGAGTAACACATTCAAATACATAATAAACAGCAGCTCACAAGAAAGGCCACTTCTAGGATGTCCCCTGTATTCAACATACAACTTCAGCTTGTGTAAGTTAACTTCTAACTCAAAATGTACTCAGTAAGAACCAGGCACATTCTAAACAGAAGGTGAGTGCCTGAATGTGCTTTCAACAGATGCCAAGATTAAATACAGCTTACAGTAATTAAAATGGGGTGTTACTGGTACAGAAATTGACAAATAGTAAAAGCTTTGTTAACAGGGGACCCAGAAATTATAGAGGACAGTTTGAGAAAAATGTTAGTGCAAATTAGGACAGAAAAATAAACTAAGTCAAAAAATAGCTTTCCACTTGGAAAAAAATTACAGCCTCAATTCATTACACACACACACACACACACACACAGAGAGAGAGAGAGAGAGAGAGAGA